CCCGCACCAACTTTATTAACCGCTTAAATAATGCTGATATGTCGACCCAATATCTTGAAACCTTATGGGAAACCATAGAGCAAGATATCAAAAACTCATTTCCATCGATTTCAGCTACCGAGCGACGTATTGTAGACAGTTGCATATCAGAATTGAGAACCGTAAGAGATACCTTAAAAGCCTGTGTAAATTTTGGTATGACCCAATTAAGATCGAGTGCAATTAAACCTCGCCTAAATCCCTGGGTTGACCAATTTCTCAACTACAGTCACATTCTGTCCGAAGAAGAACTGGCTGACTACGAGGCTGGTGAAACATATATTCAAACTCTTATTGTGCAGCTGGATGGTTTCTTAAGCCAATTCAAAAATGTGCTTACGCCAAGAAATTTTGATGCTTTTGTTAGTATATTAGCTGCAGATACTACTTCGAGACTGGAAAGGGTAATAAAGAAGACGTCTTTTAATCGACTCGGAGGTCTCATTCTCGATCAGGAAATTCGTGCACTTAGTTCATATTTAACTGGTGTAACATCATGGTCAGTACGCGACAAAATGACACGATTGACGCAGATAGCAACAATATTAAATTTAGAGAAGGTTGACGAACTTTCTGATTACTGGAGTCCAGAAAATGGAAATGAAACCCCTTCGTGGCGTTTAACGGCCCAAGAAGTGAGGACATTGTTAGCATTACGCACTGATTTTCGTATGGATGAGATTAAGCGCGTAAAATTGTAATTATTGTAACGAATGGAATACGACCATCATACTATGTGTAAGTATATACATGTTTATGGATTAGTGCAATACTCTACTAAGATTTTACTTTCGAGTTATTAAATTTGATTCTCTATTCTTTTCATAGTATTTCGATCACAATAATATGTACTTATATTCACAGTATACTGTGCTTATATTGAAAGCCATTATTGGTTGACAAATAATCAATTCTCGTAGCGTATATGTACATATGAATGTATAAGTTAATTTTAATTGAAAGATCTACATAAATATAATGCATAATATCTTATATTTTCAATATTTATAGATACTTAAATTATTATTTTTTTTTTAAGACAAAGACAAATGCGAATTTTACTTCCTTCCAACT